ATATTTTATTTTCCACAATTATTTAGTGTAAAATTATTTTCCGTTGCTTTATTTTATTAAATAATTGAACAAGCACTCATTTTATATTTGCCAAACTGGAGTTACGTTTCAAATAATAGCATTTTCTTGGACTAGGTCCTATTGATTCAATTTTGTAGAATGTTTATGAATTATGAGGTATGTTTTATGGGCCCTAAACTTCTATAGCCTGATATCCACTAAAATGATAGGCCCAATATTACGATGAGGATCTTGAGATACCCATGACTTGTGTGCACAGCCCATCCCCTGCATGTGATATTTATCATATTTTCATGAGAAAATTACATCCACCTTGCTTAATTTCATCGTCTTCATTTTCGCGACCTAAATGACAATAATAATATAAAAATACCAAGATTTTATTAAATATATTTCCAAAATTATACATATTAATTTTTTGTTTTTTAAATGAGGGGGCCATCTTCCTTGCGCTGGCCCCATCTAGGTCTGTCTCTATCAGACAAACTAATCTAAGTGACTCGTCATGCTTTTTGAATAAAAATAAAAGTTGCGATTCAAGATGAATTCATGAACACATAAGGAATGTTTCGTTGTTGTGATTCAAGATAAATTCATGAACACATAAGGAATGTTTCATTGTTGTTGTTTGCTCTTAAGTTCTTCCGAGCTTACCGTCCTTCACTTTCGTCTTACTGGATTAGGAGTTAGCCACGACTTTTGTCGTAGTCAGTTCAAAAACATAAACTCAGTCCACTTGCAGACATCGTGTTGATCAAAATTACTATGTTTCGCCTTATAGAAGGTGAACCATGTCTACTTTATTCTTGCCTTCTACTTCTAGAATCTGAAGAAGGTGAAAGCTTTTTCGATCGTATCAAGTATGAGTTGTCAAGCAGAACTATCTGGATAGTATTTATAACGGGTTTTGAAAATTAAGTAATTTTTGTTGGGCTTTGTCGTTTTTTTAGGTTCATTAGAGTTCTTATTGGTTGGAACTTTCAGTTATCTTAGTAGAAATTTGATATATCTAGGTACCGTTACACTTTTAGCACAACTCCTCCCGGTGAAGTGTAGAAAGGTCTCCCTCATATTTATAATCTCATGCTTTTATTTATGTTATTTTTTTTAAACTATGTTTTTTCAAGAAAAAAAAAATCTATATATTTACGAAAATAAGATTTTAATTTAATGGTTAGACCTTCTTTTACCGTAATTTCTTAGGCCGTACGTTTTTGAGTTAAATTAGAAATTAAATTTTGGCCACCATTTGGTGTCTATGCCAAAGTTCTATTGGATGATTCATAATTATTTATAGTCAAGAGAATGTTTGAGGCCGAACATATTCCAACAATATTATTATATGAGTATACAAATAACTTCTTCTTAAGTACAACTATACTAGTGTGTACCCGTGCGATGCACAGGAATAATATTAAATTAACAATATTATAAATAGACCTCGAGTTTGAGTCACTCAATGGCGGAAGTGGAAACCACTATTGATCATATTTAAAAGGAAAAAGAAAAAAAAATAATTATAAATTAAAGATACTTAATAATGTAAAATTATTTGTATTAGAGAATATAAAAAATAATCATATTTCAAACAATGTAAAATTATTTGTATTAGAGAATATAAAAAAATTTGATTACACACCATTTTAAAATTATTATTATACTTTTTTGTATGGTTAGTTTATAATATTTGTAAAAATATTAGTAATTAGACCGATGAAAATTAGCTTCTTAAAGTAGATAATGGATTTCTAGTAGTAATTATGAATTGGTTTCTATTTTATTTTATTTTTTTTTAAAAATAATGGATCAATTGGTTTCTATTTTATTTTATTTTTTCTTTTTAAAGATAATGAATTTTTAGTAGTAATTATGAATTGGTTTTATTTTATTTTATTTTTTCAAATTTGTATAGATAAGAGATGAGATTTTTTAAACATGTGAGATTGTATGCAATGGGATTGTAACAGAAGAGATAAGCTCGTGTAGATTTATACTAAAAAATAGGAAAAAGAAAAACAAATATGTATTATCAAACAACGGTTTTGATAAACTAAAAAATAGGAAAAAGAGAAACAATCTTTACAGTCGATGTTTTTGCCTATTCAGATTTGTCCAACAATTACTATATGTAAGATATATTTAATGATTTTGATGGAAAAAATTTTTAAATTTATAAAAAAATTATTCTTTTAATATAATGATAGATGTTTCAATTTGAAAAGTTCATACCAATCGAAACATTACATAACCATGATAATTACGATGTTCCAATATTTCCAAATTCGGTCAACTTGCAAAACTTCAAAAGTAGTTCGAATGCTCCCCTTTTCCATTTTTTATCTTTTTTTTTATTTTTTTTATTTTTTTTTTGTTCCATAAGTCGACATTCTTATGCGCCTCAATAAAATCAGGTGCCTCATTTGAGGTTTGTTGTGGTTTTCTTAGTTATACTGCGAGCACTTTCAAGTTTAGTTTGAGAATATGTATATTTTGTGATTTACTACTAATATTAATAATATAATTATATTGAAACATTGTAATTCTAAAATATATATATATATATATATATATATAATTGTTGTTTGTTATATCAAACTACCTCTTTTAGCTATATAAAACAGCACAAGAACAATCATAATAATTGTAAAATAAATTCAAATTGCAACATAAAATTGTCAAACTTACTAACTAAAAAACATAATATATATCTAACTAGGACAAGTTTCTCATATCAAAATCATAGAGTTGATTGGTGCATGGCATATTTTTCCCATCATATCTCTTCAAGATTTCCTCAGAGTCTGCACAATTTTTCAACCATAGAACCCCTTTGCAACTGCCTTTCTTAATATCCTGCTTAACCTCCAATCCCAAAAGCTGATGAAGCCAAAAAGCACTTAATTAAAAAAACAGAACCCCAATCATAAATAATTTAATCAGGGTAACAATTAAATTAGTGAAAATTTAATTAATCAGAACTTATTTGTTAATTACCTGTCTCCTAATTCTATAAAAGCACTTGTAGTACAAATAGGTCTCATCCATCCATGGCAGCAAGCTATCAACCCCAACACAGCAAATCCCATTCCCAACCTTATCTGCGAATAAAAAAATTACAAAACAAATTAATTACACATTACTAATTAGACAACTTAATTATTAATAACAAAAATAAAATTACATATATTTTTTCATACAAAATTTTCCATCAATTTTAAATTACCCGAGGATTTGATCGAGTACGGCGCTAGCCTAAAAATCTGGACCTTATACCCGGTGTTGACTTTCTCCCAAACTTTGACCTCATACCGACTTACCTCGCCGGAGGACTCGTCGGCCGCCGCCAAAGTTATGTAGTAAAGTTCCCCGGCGGTGGGCTCCACGTTGAGATTCACTATTTCGAGAAAATTGAGACGATTTCCATTTTCGAAATTTTTGTTATTATTATTGTGCTCCTCCACCGCGTACCTGGCGGCAGCCTCCGCCTTCCGGCGAATACGGTCTTCGCCGGAAAATTCTCCGGCCGGCCGTATCCCGCCTAGCAGAGTTGAGCCATCTCGACTCGGGGTTACGTAGAAACCCTCGCTGTTGTTGAGGTCATCCATGTATTCCGAGTAATTGAAAACTAGGCTGTTTTCCATTTTTGGGGTAAATTGAAATTGATAATTGTTGTTCCTGTATATGCTTGTGTGGTGTGTTTTTATGTGTGTGTTGTTGTTTTCTTGGCTAGGAAGAAATATATTTGTGTGTTAATGGTGTTTTTATGGCGTTTGTGTATTTAATTTATAGATAGGCGTTGTGTAGGTCACCATGCAAAAAGAGGAAATGTAGAGTATACCTAAATACAATAGGTAAAGGTATATTATTTTCTAAAAATCTACGTAAATATGTAAATAATTAGGCAATAGTTAGGAAGATAGTAACAATATTGTGATACCCTTGGCAATCTTGTGTTGGTCATCCCAATTCCTATCCCCTCGGTAACGTTTGGGTGTGGAATTACTTTTTATTTCAGTAATTTATGGAAGAATATTTGAGCGGTTTCATACTGAAAAATAAATTATTTTCTTGAAAGTTTAAGAATTCTAGTATGTTTTCTTGAAATTCTAAAAAAATTAAATAATTTTGATATACTTTAAAATTTAACAAAAAAAAAATCATGGGCTTATCTAATTTATTGACTGGAATTTATTTGGGCTATTCAACACATTAAAATTTCGTATGCAAATTAGTTGTACAAAATCCTACCAATTCCACTGAAGAACTTTATGAATT